TATAAGCCCCCTAATATGGGTTATAGCTACAGTTACCCTACTTATAACCCAATTATAACTACCCATGAACCTCCGAGGCTAGAGGGGCCCAGCAGAAGCAACAACCTTTTCAATCGTCGCTACGCGGGTGAGCCCAAGGGGGTCACCTTCGGTGATCGCTTCGTGCAGATCGGCGTCTTCCGGCTTGGAGACGTGAATAGGGATACTTTCTCTATTGCGCATGTGAATGCCGCCACGCTCAACGAGCGCTTCACGAAAGATGGGCACCACCAAAGGAGCAATGGGAACGGAGACATGACGACGCTTGGGCGTCCTTTGCAATACTGCAAGGTTATCACCGACAAGCCTCGTCTATTCAGCTTCGACACATTGTATACCTTCTACAACCCGCAGCACGGGCGCTACCTGAGTTTGCATCCTGGTTGCATTGAGCAGACATAGACATAGCCTCATTGCCACACAGAGCTAAAGCCTAAACCCCAAACCCTAAACCCTAAACCTTAAACCCTAAACCCTAAACCCTAAACCCTAAACCCTAAACCCTAAACCCTAAACCCTAAAGACGTGAGGAACGGGCACGCAGACATCCTCTCCGTGGAGGCCAATGGGCCCGAGGACTTGCCCCTCTGGCGCACCAACGAGCGCTTCTTAGACCGGTTTAGGGTTTAGGGTTTAGGGTTTAGGGTTAGATAGCCAATGGGAGAAGTTTAAGCTTTTTGGTCCCGGGTTTAGGGTTTGGAGTTTAGGGGTTAGGGGTTTAGGGTTTAGGGTTTAGGGGTTTAGGGGTTTAGGGGTTTAGGGCTTATATTAGATCTATCTTAAAAAGTTTGAACTTTTTTTTTTGGCCTGGTTCTTGAAGAAGAGAGGCTTTGCGGTTGTGGATGCTGGGAATGGCCTCGTCGCGCTGCACAACGCCAGGTGGAACAGGTTCATGAAGCTTGGTGTTCTTCTTGCTTTGGCTCTTAGGACTTTAACTTCTTGGGGTTTCTATATGAATCACAATAAGGAGACTAAAAGCTTATAGATTTTTGGAGGGGTTCAGAAGTCGGCCAAGGAAGATGAGCCAAAGTCAGATGATGGCGTCTCCTGTCAAGGCTGCGAGTCGGCTCCCCGCCAGCGGCTGGCACAGCGAGTACTTTCAAATCGTCGATGCTGGCGATGGGACGGTGGGACTCCACAACCCCCACCAGAACCGTTTCGTGCAAATGCGCCCTGACGGCACCGTGCAAGCCACCGATGAGAGGAATTGGGATCAGCTGAGAAGGCATACTTGGAGCTATGAGCGCTTCTACATGGTGCCGGTGACGAACTATCTTCAGCCGGGCACCTGGGTATCTCTGCGCCTTGGGTGACTTCTTCATTGTTTCGATATTGTGGCGCTAGTGGAGGGGGGTCTAGGGTCTTGCCTGCAGAGAGACTGCTCCTCATGGCATGACCCGGCACAAGGTGGAACCCAACTGCCAAGCGTTTCCTCCAAATGGACAGCGGAACCCGAATGGAAGGTGGACCCGCTAACATGGCCGCCAATGCCCTCAGCGATGGACATCAGTGGGGTTCTTGGGAGCGGTTCAGGGTGGTTGATGCCGGCGAAGGAAGGGTTGCGCTGCACAGCTACAAGCATCTAGCCAGGCCTTTAGGATATTTTGTGTTTCCCCTTTGTGTGGCCTGAGAGGATCTTATTTACGAGCATTTTTCCATGTTTGCAAATGCTTAGATTTAAGGGCCAACCTAGGCATAACAAGTACGTGCGAATGATATGGAATGGACACGAACATCGGATGACTGTGAGCTCGTCATCTCCTACCGACGCTCGCCTTTGCACGGGGCTTCGCTCATCTATCCTATGTACGTTTATGTGTACATGCGTGTACGTATGTATATATACATATATATATATATATGTACACACATACAGCTCGTTCCGAAAACAAAACTAAGTACATAAAGATTTACACACGTACTGTGGAGACACTTATGGATTGTGTTCCCAGTCAAAATGAGATGGTCGAGGCCGGTTTGTTCAGTGAGAATTCGAGATGTTGGTACACCGGCCCCCTTGGTGCTTACAGTTTAGGGTTTAGGGTTTAGAGTTTAGGGGTTTAGGGTTTAGGGAGTCGTCCCGTGTGTTTTTACTGATGTTCTTTCCGGGACTCAGACCAGCGTCGAGCTGCCGAACGGTTGGGCGGGCGAGATGGGGTTCGTGCCGGTACCCCTCAACCCGGACAACAACGAGATCGCCTTGTGGCATCCTGGTCATCGTCGCCTCTTGTCCAACCCTAAACCCTAAACCCTAAACCCTAAACCCTAAACCCTAAACCCTAAACCCTAAACCCTAAACCCTAAACCCTCAATCCGAGTTTGCATGGGATCTTTGGGCTCAGGACCCTACCATCGAGAGACTGTTCTCAGTATGTCCCAGCCCCAAGCCCTAATGTAGCGGCCTCAATAGCTAGAAGAGAGCTTTGGTGCATACCATACTGTAGTTAGAATAAAGAGCCGCCAAAATAGTATGGGTAGTTATTTCAGCCCCAACATTGTCCAGACTGTCCAGGTGCTATCAAGATGAGTGGGCAGACCGTCTCGGCCAGCGCGGACTGTTCCGCTCAGGACTGCTGATTACTATGTATATATACAAATAGGTTTTATTATATGCGATATGTGTTTGGGTAGGTATATGTATACGAATATATATATATAAATATATATATATATATATATTTACTTATTTGTTGTTTCAGCATTTTATGATATCTATAATAAACACATTTCTGATTTTAGTTTTCAGTACATTATTCTACTTATGTGAATCTGTAGTGGCATATGTATGTGTATAATGCCTGTATGTATGTATGTATGTATGTATGTATGTATGTATGTATGTATGTATGTATGTATGTATGCATATATACACATGTATACATACATACCTACTGATACTGTAGCCCTCAAGTCTCCAATTCTTTGGCCAGTCTTTGGCCTTTCAGCCCAACCCTAAACCCTAAACCCTAAACCCTAAACCCTAAACCCTAAACCCTAAACCCTAAACCCTAAACCGCACCAGGACTTGAACCGTGGATGGACTGGTGAGACCTTCCGGGTGATGCCGCTACCAGATCCGAGGCTCAGGTAGAGTCGAAGGCTCGGGGCATTGACGTTGTCGTGTTTAGGGTTTAGGGGTTTAGGATTCAGGGGCGTAGCGGTTTTCAGGCAAGGACTTCGGATTACAGGTTGCAGAAGCCCGCGAGCTTGAGGTCCAAGCGCTGCGTGCAGCATCTGTCCCTCGACTATGGGGCTCTTCTGACACGCGTTAAAAGGGAGTCTCCTGGGATTAGGGTATGTGCTTGGGCACCATTTTCTATTTGCCAAGTTTGGTTTGGTCCTTGTCTGGAAATTTGTGCATGTATATTGTTATCTGCTCGAATACTCGAAGTACGGCGGTGCTGCTGGTGATATCATTAATTAAACCCTATACCCTAAACCCTAAACCGTTTTAATTACTCTGTTTCAGGTTCCTTGTTGCAGCTTTCTTGCCCAGCCCAGGAGATCAGCAGCGGCTCACTGCTGAATGAAGCTGGCGCAGGCTGAAGAGTGTCCGCATCGGGTCCAGACTGGCCGGAAAAAGATCGTTTCGGGTTTAGGGTTTAGAGTTTTAGGGTTTAGGGTTTAGGGTTTAGGGTTCAGGTTCAGGGTTTAGGGTTTAGGGGTTTAGGGGTTTAGGGGTTTAGGGTTTCGGGTTTAGGGTGCGACGATGCTTTGACGAGTGCTGTTGAGCCCCCACGGTTCTTGTCATCAGTATGTGTTTTAGTAATGCAGTTATATAGTGATGTTTCGAGGCTGGGAGCTTCATACATGATCTCTGCTGCCTATGATGACCATGATGCTTAAGGCTCCGTGCAGACGGTTAGGGTGTAGGGTTTAGGGTTTAGGGTTTACGGTTTAGGGAACGAGTGACTGCAAACCATCATGTCACACTCAGCAAGTTGACCTGGGCTTGAGCCCTTGCGGCCATCGGGTCTCACTGACACTTGATGTCTGACCAAACCCAAAGCAGAACCCGTAAGCCCCTAAACCCCTAAACCCCTAAACCCCTAAACCCCTAAACCCCCAAACTCAAAACCCCAAAACCCCAAAACCCCTAAACCCCTAAACCCCTAAACCCCTAAACCCCTGAACCCAAAACCCCAATGCTTTCACAGCATTCCGCGGCCAGAGCTTTAGTCTGAGTGGCCTTTCCACCGCCCTTAGAGCCGGTGCAGCAAGTGCCAGGTGCTATTGTTCACATGTTTATCATAAAGAACTTTAGGGCTTCTAGGGTTTAGGGTTTAGGGTTTAGGGAACTATCATAA